AGGGGGTGATGCTACTGTAGTCGAACGGTGGGACGGACGTGCAGTTCAGTTTTTTTTTGGGCACGCATACGGTGCTGCAGGGATTTTGAGGTGTACCTAAGACCACGGGCTGAGAGTCTTAACTAGATTTTGGCATTTAGTAACTGACATACGGTTTAATGTGAAGACAACAACAACAACAACCCTTTGATTTTTTCCTTTAGGAGGGTGTGGGAGGCGTCCTCCTTATTTTTGTTTTTTGTTTTATTTTTGATCGGTTTCCGGGCTCTTTCCTCGAACGGTCGGTGCGGCAACTGTTATTTTCTTTGTAGTAGTAGTAGTAGTTGTCTTCACATTAAACCGTATGTCAGTTGCTAAATGCCAAAATCTAGTTAAGACTCTCAGCCCGTGGTCACGAATGTGCTAGAGCCATCTGAGGATCTAGTCTAAAGGACACGCACACACATAACGAGCGTACAAGAGCCCGAAGAGGTACTACTACACCTATATATAATCCCTGCAGCACCGTACGCGTGCCCAAAACTGAACTACACGTCCGTCTCACCGTTCGACTACAGCAACATCACCCCCTACCTGTCCCACTCTGTACCAAAACGAATGATTGCCGACTACAGCATACTTGCTGTCTGAAGTGCTGTCTGTACAAAAACACCATGGTAGGCATGGAACAAGAAGCTGGCGGGGCACAAAGCTGCTGTCTGAAGTGCTGTCAGAATGTGTCTGCGGCCGTACAGTGAAAAAGAACAACCCACCAAAGCCATCATAGCAGCAATTGACAATCACCCGAATCTCTCCCGATCGTCTGTGTTAGGCACTGCAGTGAAACATATCGACACTAGCTAAGAATCGTTCCACATTGAAGGGGTCTTCCACGACCAGGCACAAAACTAAAGCACCCGGGTTAGCCACGCCATCTCTGACGGGTCTCTCTACAAAACCGGTGACGACGTCATCACACAAAACCAACACGGAAAGTCAGAAAAAAAACGAAAAAATTAACAACACAGATAGAAATGTTAATGTTTGTCCGTGCGCCACGGGTCGATGTCGCCCGCATGCTCCGGTACCGCTGCTCCATCCGGCGCCGCTGTAGTCAGCCCGAGCAAAACGCCACTCGACCTGCTCCGTCCGTACACGCTCTCGTTGCTGTCCTTCCCAGTCGGTTCCTCGCTTTCTCCCTCATTGCACTCAAGGTTCTTGGTCTGAAAAAAAAAAATTCTCGCGCCGAATGGTCAACCAGCCCAGTTCAGCTCGTCGCCACCTGCTCCCTCCTCCTTTGATGGCGAAGCCAGGTTACTGAGGCAATACAGCTGCCTCTAGCAAACATAGGGCCGTGTAGTGCCCGTCCACCTTTGTTTTTGTTTTCTCTTCCGAGTGGTTTGTACCCTATTTTTGTTTTGTTTCCCCGCGGCGTCGTATGTGCCTGGTTTTGAGACCACAGGCTCCCCATCTTTTGTGGACCATTTAGCTAATAATGTGAGAAACAACAACAACAAGCACTGCCGTATATCGGGGCCCCTGCAGCAATACAATCAGTACTACAGAGTATCATCGTAAGAGGACTGGCAACTGACCCACAGGACCTCTTGATACTCTTGTTGGGAAAGAAACTTATCTCGTGATCACAAACCATCCCAAACCAGATTTATTCTATTGCACAGCACAAAGAACCGCAAAGAAACGAGGTATTCCACAAGAAAAGAGATCGAGAAACCTCGGCAGCAGTGTGTTGCAGTGCATTCGTAAGCACAAAAAAATAATTCTGCATATGCACACAAAATGAAGGTCTTGCTGCTGATTGTCTACATGCCTGCAGTACATGGCTGTACTGCTGTACAGCATCAGGACCAAACTGCTACCATATGCACGAGTGGTACCAATACAAGGTGCGTGTGGATCGCACACAGCTGTCGTATCCAATAGTGAGTTGTGCACACTCTTGCAGGTTGCACTGCTGTACAGCAGCAGCCAGGCTGACCTGTTGCTCGAAGAAGCCGCTGCAGCAGCCGTCTCAGCATTGAGTGCCCTCGTCTCGGAGCCGCCTTCTCCGGCCCCACGCCCTTGCCCATCTGCCCCCTTCCCTCTCCCTGGCTGTGCCCTTGCCCATGGCCGCCGCGGCTCTGCCCTTTCTTTCCGAGCCTCATGCGTGGAGCCTCGTGACGCCGGCTGCCACCCAAGCTCAACAACAGCTGCTGCTGCCTCCGCGGAGCGATGTTCTTGGTTTACTGGTGACGGTAGGCGAACACATACGCTTACCAACCCGCCCACCAAAATAAAGAGCAGCAGCAACGCTTTCATCGCATGGTTCAGAAGAAGCGAGGCTTGCTGCTGCTGCTGCTGCTGCTGCTGCTGATGCATGGTGTAAATGGATCTTCTCCCTCCCAACTTATCTGTGGTCGCATGAGAAGGCAGCGGGGATTGTTGTTGTTGTTGTTGTTTCTCACTTAGCTCTAAAAAAAAACAAGCCCGTGGTCTCAAAACCCGGCATACACGACCCCACGAAGAAACAGAAAAAAATAGGGTACAAAAACCATTCGGGGGATCTGGTTGTGTGATTAGCTGCGCACCACCCCCGCCGCGCCTGGCTCTAGTTTTAGAGGCTGCATACAGGCTGTCATGGATGCGGAGGCTGCCACGTGATACGCAATCGTTCCGTGAATTTTCTTCGGAATTATGTTGTTGTTTTCACATCTAGAAACCGTTCCGATCTCCCTCTCTACCCAGTTTAGACCAAGAACCCTAAGTGCAACGAGGGAGAAAGCGAGGAACCGAATGGGATGGACAGCAACGAGAGCGTGTACAAAGCGGAGCGGGTCGAGTTTGATCGTGATAGGACTGGCCACAGCGGCACCGGAGCAGCGGCACGGGAGCAGGCGGACGGCATCGAACCGTGGCGCACGGACAAACATCTCTTGTTGTTGTTGTTGTTGTTGACTTCACATTAAACCGTATGCCAGTTGCTAAATGCCAAAATCTAGCAAAGACTCTCGGCCCGTGGTCACGAAAGTGCTAGAGCCATCTGAGGATCTAAAGAACACGCACACGTAGCAAGAAAAAGGTGTACAAGAGCCCGAAGAGGTACTACTACACCTATATATAATCCCTGCAGCACCGTACGCGTGCCCAAAACTGAACTACACGTCCGTCTCACCGTTCGACTACAGCAACATCACCCCCTACCTGTCCCACTCTGTACCAAAACGAATGATTGCCGACTACAGCATACTTGCTGTCTGAAGTGCTGTCTGTACAAAAACACCATGGTAGGCATGGAACAAGAAGCTGGCGGGGCACAAAGCTGCTTGTGTTGTCAATTATTTCTCGTTTTTTTTTCCTGAATACAGGTGTTGGTTGTTGTTGTTGTTGTTGTTGTTTCTCACATTAGCTCTAAAAAAAAAAGATTGGGAGCCCGTGGTCTCAAAACCCGGCATACACGACCCCACGAAGAAACAGAAAAAAATAGGGTACAAAAACCACTCGGAAGAGAAACAAAATGATAGAAAGAAAGACCAGCTACCGCACCAAACGAGAAAGAGCGTCGAGGAGACCGATCAAAATAAAATAAAAGGAGAACGGGGAACGCTTCCCACACCCGCCTACAACGCCGGAGGGTTCCGTGCCGGGTTCCCGCCGACCAGGCATCCCCCGCCCTGCACCACACCCCAGGGGGTGAAGCAAGACGGAGGGCGAAAAGCAAACACATATATATTCCCACAAAAAAAAAAAAAAATCGAAGGACAACGTACACCAGTACCAGGTACTACAGCAGTGCAGTATGCACCAGCGCATTAGTGTAGGGTAGGCACCGCACCAAAGAGGCAGCAGAGGTGGCAGGCAGCCAGCAAAGGAAAAAACAAAAATAACAAGGAGCTCGAGGTATCGTCCAAGATCATCGTAGAGAGGGCATGGAGAACAAGAAAGAAAGAAAGAAGAAAAGCACAAAGAGAGGCCGGAGGCAATACTAAGAGCATACAGCTTACGGCATGGAAAAGGGAACACAGGGTGCGACAACATCATCAGTTGGGTACGTCGTTCGCCGCAAGCGCGGCCTTGGCCGCCCTACTCGCTTCTACAGCAGTGGCCGGTCGCCGTTTCTTCCCCCCCCCCGCCGCTTCCCCGATTCTCTTTCTCTTCGGGCCCGGGGCGGCCGTGCTCTCCGTCTCTGCTTCCTCCGCGCGCTGGCGCTGGCGCTTCGCGGATGCTTCCGCCTCCTGTCTGTGCCATTTCCTCATGAACCATGCCGCCCCGATGTTTTTGTTTGTTTTTCTCCCATCATTGGACTCTGTCGTCTGCCCCTCTGGTCCCTATCCTCCACTTACTTCTACTAGCTAGACGACCCAACCGGGGTCACATAGGAGGGGGGGGTTGAACCCCCTCCTGCGGTTCATGCCTGAGGTTTTGTTTGTTGTTTGTTTGTTTTTTCTCCCATCATTGGACTCTGTCGTCTGCCCCTCTGGCCCCTATCCTCCACTTCTACTAGCTAGACGACCCAACCGGGGTCACATAGGAGGGGGGGGTTGGACCCCCTCCTGCGGTTCATGCCCCTTCCCTCGCGACTTACGAAGTCGATTATGGTTTACTAACAAACGAGCTTTGCAGCGCGTCGCTTTCATCCTAGACCAGGATTTATTGAGTGAGAAAAAAACTCTCTCTACCGGAACTCGAACCCATGACCTGGCCCTTAGCAGGCTGCGAGACTACCCACTAGACCACCGGGGCGACCGATGTGTGTGGTGACGTCTCTGATTTTGTAGAGAGACCCGGCAGAGAAGGCGCGGATAACCCGGGTGCCTCAATTGTGTAACTGCATCGCGGAAGACCCCTTCAATGTCGAACGATTCCAAGGGTGTGTTTAGTACAGTACAGTATGTTTAGTACAGTATCGATTGTAGTACTAAACCTACTCTTTAGTATAGTATCAGGAGTTGTACTAAACGTGCAGTATAGTACAGTATCGAGGACTGCACAAAACGTACTATTGGTTATAGTACAGTATCGAAAGCTGTACTAAAGCCAATAGTATAGTACAGTATTTTCAGAAGTACTATACTAAGCCGAGTAGTACCGATCCAAACCCGGTACTAAACCCGAAGTATTGTAGTGCAGTATCGAGGGCTGTACTAAACGTACTGCTGATTTTAGTACAGTATCGAAAGCTGTACTAAACGTACTGCTGATTTTAGTACAGTATCGAGGGCTGTACTAAACGTACTTACTGTAGGTTTTAGTACAGTGTCGAGGGCTGGCTGTACTAAACGTACTGTAGGTTTTAGTACAGTATCGAGGGCTGTACTAAACGTACTATTGGTTCAAGTACAGTATTATTGTTGACGCCGAGGACAAAACAGCAGTGTCCAGACCCATATTTATGCGTCCCAGGACCCATGCACATAAGAAGCGTTCCAGTGCAGCAAAGAGACCGAAAACAATACGAATAGAAAGACAACAAGACAAGACAACCCTTCCCCGTCCGTCCCTTTCGAGGTTCTTGTGTCGGCCATGAAAATTGCCTCAAGCAGGGCAACAAAACCAACAAGTAAAAGCAAAAGTGCAACTGATAGCTATAGCTATTCGTTCTTGTGCTAGAAATCGACTTTAACTTTTTACTTGACAGTTGAACTACCCGTCTAGAGGCCAATGTCAGCCTCCTTGGGAGGCGAGTCGTTTGACAGCGGGTCAAGCGCCATCTCTGCCTTCAGGAGGTCTTCGTCTGTTCCGTTGAACTTCGCAGGTAGACACTTCCTGATGTCCCTCGAGTCGATACTAGGGATATCGCGGTACTCCGGGATAAATCGGCTGCTACCTGCTACCTCCCCTGTCGGGTACTCTGCAGTTACTTGTACTTTTACTAGCGCTCGAGTACCCTGTGAGTAGAGCACCGAGATGCTGGTGGTCTGGTTCTGGTGGTACACACACAGATGAAACTCGCCGCACTGCGCAAGAATGACGTCATCAACACGCCCTTTGCTGGAACCCGAGCAGATACTCGGAATACTATCCGGAACCAGTGGAGTACAGTACCTCTTCCCCTCCCCGGCCTGCTCCCCGGCCGGGGCCGAAATCGACCTTGTGAGCCCCTCGCGGGCGAACCAGGCTACAACAGATAGTAGGTGGGTGGTGTCCCAAGGTGCAACTCACCGCCGCGCTGGCTCAGCGTGGCGGTGAGGATGCACAGACGGTGGTAGTGGCGAGACGTGTATGTGGACCTTGTCCCCGCGGCAGCAATGCAAAGCGGCAAACTGCACCTGGTAACCACCGTCGCGGAAAACGTGGCCCACGAAGCTGGAGGAGCAGAGAGATTCGTAAAAACCACGCGAGTAAGCACCGTTCGCGGGAGAAGGGAGATAACCGCGGGCGACGCGGGGGGGGAGTGCTGCACCCTCCTCGTCCAAACACCACAGGCAAGCACCGAGCCCTGCAAAGATGGATCGATGCGGAGAAACTCGCCGCTCGGATTAAACGGAAGAAAACACCCCCCCAGCGCGAGGCGGACCGAGAGCGACAGGAGATCGCAGCGGGCGTGAAGGCGACCGCGAAGAAGAAGGCACGGGAGGGCGATTTATCGTTCGGCACGTTCAACGTACGCACGCTCGCCTACAGCGGCAGGAACCCCATCGGCCACAACGTGATGACGGTCATGCAGATCTGTGCCGCGACCGACTGTGATGTGATAGGACTCCAAGAGACCCGACGAGCGGGACAAGGCGCGATTACACACGACGGGTACGTGATCATTTGGAGTGGTGCCCGTGCCGGCACCAAGGACAAGAGGGGCGTGCACGGTGTGGGCATAGCGATTAAGGAGACCATGTGGGACAGCGTAGGCGAGGGAGGTAGGACGGTGGAGTGCATTAGCCCGAGGCTGATGAAGGTGCGCCTGCAAATTGGCCGCACCTGCGGAGTAACTTTCGTGGTGGGGTACGCCCCTACGGAAACTGCCCGCAACACCGCGGGCGGTGATGTCAATGCCAAGGACTCCTTCTGGACTGCTCTCGACGCAGAGATCCGGGAGGTCCATAGCCGTGACCATCTCGTGGTACTAATGGACGCCAACGCACGTACTGGCAGGAGGCGAGACGGATGCTGCGATGCCAAGATTATGGGCGCGTACGGACGCGACATTATGAACAACAACGGGGAACGACTTCTCGGACTGGCAGCAGACAACCGACTCTCCCTGATCAACACCTACTTCCGGACACCGAAAGGAGGAGTGCAGCATACGTTCCAGAGCTCCAACAAGGGGAAGGAGAAGCACCGCCTCGACTTCATCCTCATGCGACAGACGGACCGGCGTCTCGTACGTAATGCCTCCGTCAAACGTGTCGATTTCAAGGACTCTGACCACAACCTGGTGCATACGACTGTCCGCTCCCCCCCCCGTGTCGCACCCAACCGACGAACGCGGGGAAACAGCGGAAGCAGCCGGATCCGTATCGACCTCGAACGGTTGAGGAAGGATGTGCACCTACGGGCCGTCTTCCAAGACAGGGCTCTCAACCGCCCTCCGCCCACGGCCCTCAGCAGGCCAACGGGAGAGACCGCCGCCGAGCTCACCGCTGTGGTGATGTCGGCCGCTGCGGAGATCGCGCCGCTGGCGAGGAGCGCACGAGGGAAGGGAGGATGGTACACGAGCGAAGCGCAGCACGAGATTTCCGAAGCGTCTAGGGAGATAAGAGTGGCCCAACAGCAGCTGCGCGGGGCCTCAAAGAACAGCGACTTAGAGACGACCCTGAAGGCGAAGCTCAAGGCGGCGCGGAAGAAACGCAGCAGCGCGAGGTGGAGAGCACTGGAAAAGTTCTTCGAGGGCTATGTGAGGCAGCTCGAGAAGAAGAGCCGTGAGGGGGACCAGGCGGGTTTCTACAGGCACCTGAAGATGATCGACGTCGAAGGTAAGAGGTCGTTCACCTCTCAGAACATCAAGGACGAGGACGGCAAGGTCCTTCGGGACCCCACGTTTATTCGCCAACGGTGGGCACGGTGGTTCCACAAGCTTCTCAACACCAAGTCGCCGACCATCGACCTGCATGCGGCTGACAAGGTCAAGCGGTGGCCCACGTGCGTGCCACTCGACGACATCCCATCTCTACTTGAGGTTGAGGAAGCGGTACGGGAAATGGCCAACAGAAAGGCCGTCGGGCCGGACGACCTACCGGCTGAGCTGATCAAGCTGTTCCTGGATGGAGACCGAGGCTTCCTCCGCGAATTCCACGCCATCGTCGTGGACGTGTGGCAGACGGGGAACGTACCGCAGCAGTGGAAGGACGCCACCATCAAGGTTCTGTTCAAGAAGGGGGACACGATGGAGTGCGGCAACTACCGGGGCATCTCTCTCGTTGCACACGCCGGCAAGGTGCTGCTTAAGGTCGTTGCAACACGCCTGAGCCACTACTGCGAGCGAGAGGGCATCCTCCCGGAGGAGCAGAGCGGTTTCCGCCCACACCGGTCGACGCTCGACATGCTGTTCGCCATCCAGCGGCTCCATGAGCTCGCGAGGAAGAAGAGTACTGCGGTGTTCGCGTGCTTCGTCGACCTCACCAAGGCATACGATTCGGTGGACCGAGACCTACTGCGGGACGTGCTCCGACGCTTCGGCGTGCCCCCGAAGATGCTGGCGGTCATTCGCCACTTCCACGAGGGCATGAGGGCGCGGGTTCGAACGGACGACGGGCAGTACTCGGAATGGTTTGACGTCGGCCAAGGTCTCCGACAGGGGTGCAACCTGGCCCCGCTGCTGTTCAACTTGTTCTTTGCCGCGATGCTCATGGTCGCCGTGACCGAGTTCGACAAGGACCCCAAGGTGACGGCGGATATGATCAAGATCGCAACACGAGTGGAGTGCACGGGCAAGAGGGGCAGGTCGGCGGGGAAGAAGGCGATGATGGTGACGGTCGCAGAGGCCCTGTGGGACATGCTCTACGCTGACGACGCGGCCATCGTCTCGCGCTCGCCGGAGAGTCTCGAGAAGATGATGTCGGTCATCGTGCGCGTGGCCGGCCTGTTCGGACTGATGGTGTCGGAGCCCAAGACGGAGATCATGTGCATGCTGCCAAAAGGGATCGAGGAACGCCCGTTCACGGTCAGCGCCGCCGGCCAGACGTACAAGCAGACAGATCGGTTTGTGTACCTCGGACGTACCATCTCCGCGGACGGGAAGGCCGACCGGGAGATCACGAGCCGCAGCTGCCGAGCGTGGAAGTGCTACCGCCGGAACAGTGCTTCGATGTACGACAGGCGACGGGCCGACCGCCAGCTCAAGATCCGGCTTCTCCAGGCTGAAGTGGTGGAGACTCTCCTGTATGGGTGCGCCTCGTGGAGCCTAACAGCGGAGCACTACACGAAGCTCAATGGGACCCACCGCCAGTTCCTCACACGGTGCATCGGCTGGAGCAAGCGGAAACGCTCAGACCGCCCCCTGTCCTATGCCCAGGCCCTCATCCAGGCAGGCTGCGAGGAAACCATCGAGGCCACCGTGCGCAAACGGAGGCTGTGTTTTGCGGGCTTCGTTATGCGCATGGAGGACAACCGCCTCCCCAAGCGCATGCTGCTGGGAGCGATGGCGGGGGGTACCGGATACCGGGGCGGGCAGGAGAGCGACTGGGTGTATCGCCTAGGAGAGGACCTCGTGGCGTTTGGCATGAAAGAGGAGAAGGAGGGGGGGAGATGGAAAGAGAGCGCCAAGGACCAGGAGGCGTGGTACGACAAGATCGAGGACGGGGCGGCATGGTTCATGAGGAAATGGCACAGACAGGAGGCGGAAGCATCCGCGAAGCGCCAGCGCCAGCGCGCGGAGGAAGCAGAGACGGAGAGTACGGCCGCCCCGGGCCCGAAGAGAAAGAGAAGCGGGGAAGCGGCGGGGGGGGGGAAGAAACGGCGACCGGACACTGCTGTAGAAGCGAGTAGGGCGGCCAAGGCCGCGCTTGCGGCGAACGACGTACCCAACTGATGATGTTGTCGCACCCTGTGTTCCCTTTTCCCTGCCGTAAGCTGTATGCTCTTAGTATTGCCTCCGGCCTCTCTTTGTGCTTTTCTTCTTTCTTTCTTTCTTGTTCTCCATGCCCTCTCTACGATGATCTTGGACGATACCTCGAGCTCCTTGTTTTTTTTGTTTTTTCCTTTGCTGGCTGCCTGCCACCTCTGCTGCCTCTTTGGTGCGGTGCCTACCCTACACTAATGCGCTGGTGCATACTGCACTGCTGTAGTACCTGGTACTGGTGTACGTTGTCCTTCGATTTTTTTTTTTTTTGTGGGGATATATATGTGTTTGTTTTTCGCCCCCCGTCTTGCTGCACCCCCTGGGGTGTGGTGCAGGGCGGGGGATGCCTGGTCGGCGGGAACCCGGCACGGAACCCTCCGGCGTTGTAGGCGGGTGTGGGAAGCGTTCCCCGTTCTCCTTTTATTTTATTTTGATCGGTCTCCTCGACGCTCTTTCTCGTTTGGTGCGGTAGCTGGTCTTTCTTTCTATCATTTTTGTTTCTCTTCCGAGTGGTTTTTGTACCCTATTTTTTTCTGTTTCTTCGTGGGGTCGTGTATGCCGGGTTTTGAGACCACGGGCTCCCAATCTTTCTTTTTTAGAGCTTATGTGAGAAACAACAACAACAAGTATCGAAAGCTGTACTAAACGTACTGCTGATTGTAGTACAGTATCGAGGGCTGTACTAAACGTACTGTAGGTTTTAGTACAGTGTCGAGGGCTGTACTAAACGTACTGTAGGTTTTAGTACAGTATCGAAAGCTGTACTAAAGCGTACTATTGGGAGAGTAAAGTATCGAAAGCTGTACTAAAGCCAATAGTAAGTAAGTACAGTATTTTCAGAAGTACTATACTAAGCCGAGTATAGTACCGATCCAAACCCCGTACTAAACCCTAAGTATAGTACAGTATCGAGGGCTGTACTAAGGCGTACTATTGGTTTAGTACAGTATTGAAAGCTGTACTAAACGTACTATTGGGATAGTATAGTAAAATACTCGAGTAAAGTACTATAGTACGCCCAGTATACACTGTACTAAACACACCCTTGAACGATTCATATATAATATAGCAAGGTTCCATTTAGTACAGTATAGTATTTATATTCCAGTATCGAAACCCGTACTGAACCGCCAGTACCAGTACAGTA